CCCGTTTCTGTTCATTGGTTGTAACTAGTTAGCTGTGCAGACTTGGACTAATCTCAGCTAGTTCCCACCACTCACTCAGTCAGGACTGTTGTGACTAAGGCCATCTGGTGATGCAGGGGTGCTCAGGCTATCAGACATACTTTGTCATGTATGAGCTGCAACTGTGCCTGTGTGTGCTGAAACACAGTCCTCTCCAGCCATCATCTGTGGTATCTCACTGACAATGGGCGTTTGTTACCATTAATGAAATGGGCTGTTAGAAGCATCATGCTAATTACATCCATGTTTTGGTAGGTCAGCTACATCCCTTGGAGCCCCTGCGGAGCTGTATGTGTCACTGTTCGCTGGGGCTGGGACGTGACAGTGTGTAGACACTGTTCTGAGCTTCCTATCTTCTTTAATCTCAGAGACCTATCTTAGACCCAGGGAAGCGTCCACCCGCTTCTTCCTTTGCGCACTTGCGTGCTCCTGAACAATGCGGGGTGGGGGTGGGGGGGTTAGGTGCTGGATGAGATCGTTTGGACACAGCTCAGAGATGACATTTTAGTGTCCTGAAGGAGAAAAAGGTCTCCCATGTGTTCATGGCAAAGACTCAATAGGCCCGTTTTGTGTTTCTCACACAGAAGTCAGGTTTTACAAAACCCATTTTAGGAATACTGCACATTGAATGGTACAGTGTTCTTTCTCAGGCTCATTCTACCTTGAGATCATATACTGGTAATTTAGTTGACGTGCGATAGTAGTTGTGAGCGGAATCTCTTATATAAGTTTTACCAAGGAGAATGATATGTGATGAGCTGACTGTCTCTGCCGCCTAACTGACAAGGTTTTATTATTAGGAAGAAGAAGCTAGAAGCAAAGGTGAAGAAGCTGGAAGGTACGTGCGGCTGCTGCTCACTGACCAGCTGAGCCACCGTCTCACAGGCCTGTGCTGTGTGTGAGGCTAGGGAGGATCACTTCCTCTACAGTCAGCTCTGTGTGGAGATGAGTATGCGGGGCTTAGCCTCATCCTCTCTCTGTTACTGTTGCTCTAGACAGGCAGCATCGAAGGAAATGCAGTGATTCTGTTTTAGGTCTTTGTTTCAACTGAAGTTGATGGTTACTAGAAAAGGTTGTGATTTGTCTTAGTCAAGATGTCCATTGCTGTGATAAACACCATTACAAAAGCATCTTGGGAAGGGGAGGATGGTTTGTATATCACAATCTATTGTGGGAAGTCTAGTCAGGAACTCACACAGCACAGGAACCTGGAGGCAGGAGCTGATGCAGAGGCCATGGAGGGATGCTGATTACTGGCTTGCTCCATGTAGCTTGATCAGCCTGCTTATAGGAAACCAGGACCTGCTCTCAGGAATGTAACCACCCACAGTGGACTGAGACCTCCCACATCAATCACTGCTGCACACAGGTCTCTGTGACACATGCACAGAGAATTCTATGAAGTGCCCCACTTGTATTTGGCACTCGCTTCTTGTTTCTGAGTAGGCGGAAAGCAAAAGGGCCACACTGGGATCTGTTCTGTCCTTACATCTTAACTGGTTTTTAGCAGCTAGCTCAAGATTGGACTGTTGGTGTTGTCTGTAGTCACTCATGTGTGGTCTCAGCCACAGGCAGCATCTGTGCTATCACTCTGGCCAACGTGGTACCAGGTGTCTGCCTAGGTTGACTCCCAGCAGGACAGTAGTTGGGTTCTGCTTCAGAATGAGGTGTTTCCATGTAAGGAGTTCAAATGTAGTTGCAAAAGGCCATTTAGAGCAAAAGTAATGAAGTATTACTTGTCGTCGTCCTCAGTGTAGATTCAGCTGCGCATGGTTAGATTATCCGTCTCATGAGCACTGACAAGCACTAAGTGCATGAGTGCTCTTAGCCTCATCCTCCCTTGTCTGTGGAGATGAGTGGAGTGCCTGAGAGAATGGATGCAACTTAGAGACCAGACCTTCGCTGAAGTTAAATGTGCCTTTTTTTTTTTAATGGAACAAAAGTAATTTTCCCTATAAGTGTCGAGGACAGTCAAACCTTGGGAGAAGAGAACTGTTACTGGGGTCTTGTATGAGAGCTGCTATCCTTTGCATTGGTGCATGTACATGTCTCTGTGATGTCGGTTCTGGTTAGATTCTTACTGATGTGTGCACTGTTTGGTGCTTTTGAATCAAAGAAGAAATGAATGATCTGCTCACAATCTATAGTTCTGTCCACTGTCCCTGACCAGCCAGTGTCGTGTGTGAGGATTTGGAGTTGCTATCCCTGGTGTGAGAGAATCCTTACAGCCTTACTCAACTTCTGTAGCATGATGAATAGGCACTAACTGTGACATGGAGAAAAAAAGCTTGTGCTGGATTTCATTTGATTCAGAGGTTACTAACCCACACCTCTTTCTGTTGCTTTGCTCTACCTGTTAAACATAGAGGCTGCTGTCAAGCAAACTCAGGACTTCAAGCAATTGAGAAATGAAAAGAAAATACTTGAGAAGGAGTTTAAGAAGACACAGGTACTGGGTACAGTGACGCACATACTTTGCATCCCTGACTGGGGCTTCTGTAGACACAGGTACTCGGTAAAAGATGCACACACTTTGCAGCTATGACTCAGGGCCTCTGTGGCATCCAAGTTGTGGCTACAGTCACTGTGTCCTTGCATCTGTCTGACCTTTGCCCCACAGTGTCTGCACAGTGTCTGTGCAGCATAAGTACTCTTGGTTTTTCTCCCCCACCCACACAGGAAAGGCTTGATGAATTTTCCAAACAGAAAAATGAGAAGGGTGAGTATTCGGTCAGTGCTTATGTGGAGGGCCAGTTTGAATGTGCAGTGTTCATTGAAACCCTTCTCTGTATGTGTTTTCAGAGTTGAGGCACATTGGAACACAAATCTCGAGTGACTCACACGGAAGCATAGATAAAAGTGAGTATGCTGACAGCTGGGCTTGCTTTTGGCTGTTGCTTGTTGTGCTTGGCCGGCTCAGGTGCCATAGTTTCTGTGAAAATCCGGCTCTGTAGATAGATACATTGTTATTTTGGATGGTTAGATTTGTACACATACAGGTTTACTTATACCTGTATACATGTCCATAAAGCCAACTATTTTCTTACAAAATATATGAAAGAAAGACTCTACAAAGACGTTGTTTGGGGAAAGAAAAGTATTTATAAAACTCTCACTTTTTTTCAGCAAGTAGAGATAGGTTTCTGCCTAGATTATAGTTTCTCAGATTAATTTATTGGTTTCCTGGGTTCTGAGCAGTGTTAAGGGAGGCAGAACTAGCCACAGCTCTGCAGTGTGTTTTCTGGGGACAATAAACACAACGAGGAGGCCACATCTGAGTGGTCAGGTACTGCTGCTCACAGTGTTCAGCTAGGGCAGATGCAGCAGGCGCAGGCAGGACACACACACTGTGCATCAGCACGTGGACTAGCCAGGCACCGGCATTCTGAATTTGAAGTCACCTTGGCTAGTAATAGATACACTGTCTCCAAAAACAGAAGGAGGTTTCCTGGACACTTTAGATCAGTGGTTCTCAGCCTGTGGGCCATGACCTCTTTGGGGGCTCAGATGACTCTTTGACAAGACTGGGGATCACCTCAGACCATTGGAAAACACAGCTATTATATTGTGACTCATAACGGAAAAATTATAGTTGTGAAGTAACAACTAAAAGAATTGTCTGGCTTTGTGTCACCACAACGTGAAGGGCTGACTGTATTAAAGGGTCATAGCATTAGGAAGGGTGAGAGCCACTGCTGTAGAGGTTTAGCATCTGTAGAGGAAAGTGAGACAGGAGATGGAGAGCTGATGGGCACAGCCACAGGGAAGGACAGTCTCAAAGGCTGCTTCTCCACGTCGGAGGGCCAGAGCATGCATGCTCTACAGAAAACTGGTGAAAGAGGAGCCTGCCAGGGTTAGAGCCGTGGCTAGAGTCCTGTTCAGAAACTCCCCAGGCACAGTTTGTTAAAGTGCGGGTTGTGAATGAGAACTGTTGGAGGTGAAATAATGGGTAAGTAATGGCTGGTTTGAGGGCTATCTGCTTTCCCCGTCCCCTAATAAGATGCTTACATACTGTTTCAGTTCTCATAAGTGAGCCCACTCACTAGCCTTCCACAGGGTTCCTGAAAGGAGGACCTGCAGTGACTTACAGTGGATTCAGAGTGTAGGCAAGGAAGGAGATTTTGTCTGCTATCAGTTTGCCTAAACCCTCCACTAAAACTTTGAAAAGTACAAGTGTCTTGGGAAAGCCCTCAGACTGTAGAAGACTAAAGAACCAGTGTTAGCACATGAGTGAGAGATGCCCAGACCTGGTAGTGTCCTTGAAGATGCTCAGGAACATGCCCATGGGCCAGTGTATCACATGAGGTGGAGGGACCTTGAGAAGTAAAATACCAGCTACCTAATGAAGGGTTGGCTGAACTACCAGTTGATTCCTAAACTGAGAGATGAAGTCTGGGTTCCCTGAGAATGGAGTGTGAAGGAACAGCATCAAAGATACCAAATGTCATGGAAGCCAGAAGTCTCAGTATTCATCCGCTCCAGGGTTTCAATAGGTGAGTACAGCCAGGAGGGCTGATCCGTGAGGAGGAAAATGAGAGTCCCTGGTCAGAAGCACAGGTAGTGAGTGTGTGTTGATACCACAAGGGCAGACAGAGCTAACAGGCTAATAGAGCACATGCCTGCCTCAGATCAAATGAGGCAGAAAACGTTGAGTACTCGGCGCTGACTTAGGATAGGCTCACATTGTCTATGAAAGCAGTAAGGCCAACTCAACAAGTCCAAGCTTTAGAACAATTCTGTATGGAACAAGGGGTTCAGAATGCTGAGGTCTGGTAAAACATTCTAGACTCAAGCACATGGAACTATGCAAGACAAGCCTCCTGGGGACTCCTGAGGAAATGACCCTCTTCATGGGAGAAATTCAGTGTGAGTCTTTCGAAGAAGGGGTTGTAAACGGCTAAAGAAACAACTGCCAGAACAGCCATTCATAAGGACTGTAACCACATCCCGAGTTCTTTAGAAACTTCATAAAGGTTGGCTAATACAGCAAACACGTCAGTGTGATATTGATAGACGTTCTCCCCTCCTTTGGGCCGTTGGAACTGATGCTGGCTCATGGTCATGGGAGCAGCCACCCACTGTGAATGTGGTGAAGGACAGCAGAGCCTGTGCTTGTGTCTGTGCAGGCTCTGCAGGCTCTGCACACGGCTCTGCAGGCTCTGCACACGGCAGCTTCCACACCCAGTGTGGGGAGTAGACGACATGCCCCAGAGTGCTTCAGGTCTCACCTGGAGATGAGAGGAGGGGAACAGGCAGAGGGTGCTAGTGCTGCTGTGTCTAGTATCGTGCAAACCTCCAGTGCGTTGTGTTGACCTGTCTGAAGATGAACAGAGTATGAGACCTCCCCTTTTCAAATGGCAGTACCTCAGTACCGAGTACCTAAGGCAATGCACAGCATCCATAGGAGGAGATCATAAACGTGTCAGGCATCCCTAGACGCCTCAGCAGGTACTGAACTGTGTAGGTTTCTCAGGAGGAGGGGCTGTTTGAGCAGTAAGCTTCCTTAAAGGAAGAGCTGAGCAGGACCTTGCTCTAGCCACTCTAACACGCTCATCTTGATACACGGGGACAGTGGAGCAGAAAGTCCTATAAGCACCCTAGATTGTGATAAGAGAAGACGCCCTTCAGAGATCACACATAGGTGCCCACTCACAATGTGATCAGAAAGCTGTGCTGAGGAGTTTTCTCGGCTTGTTGGAAGGCCAGCTTTGGGGTCAGTTCTGAGAAGCATGTGTGCTCCTTGGCATTGTGACTGTTCTCCAGGAGGATGAAAAAGTAACTTGTTTTCTTTGTTTTTAGGGTTCTCCTTGTTGGCTGCTTTGGGTATATGTACTAAGCAGGGACCGTGGTCAGGTCATTTAAGCAAAGGGGATTACAGTATTTGGAAGCAGGCTCTAGGTTAGGTTAAATCATAATTCAGATAAGCTTCTCAGCCATAGGGGTCTGCAGCCTCCAATGGTAACCGGGTTGGCCTGAAGTAGGAAAGGTAGGCGGCATCTGTACAGATTAACTTGTAACAATGTCAGCCATGCTTGTCTTGATATCCCCATCTGTGGACTTCACTTTGGGGTGACTTTTTTTAGTATGCTAACATCAGTTTACTGTATTAAACCAGTGGCTGATTTCCTGGAGATTTTAACATGGAAGGTTAATCTTTTCAATCTTCTGTTGACCTGGGTTAGCGATTTTACCCATTTCATAAAGCTTAGGGTTAAGGACACTTCTAGAGATCCCTGGTTTGTCCTCAGCATCGTTTCCTGTTGAGATGTCGTTAGCATGGGTTAGTTCTTTAGTCCATGCTTCACCTCACACTCTTTATGGCTACATTTTCATGAATAGATTTTGCCTTGATGGTTATTTTTGCAGTATGTGTATTTAATGAGTTACAGAAACTTTATCCCTGATATTATATTGTTCTTATGGTTTTCATCAGGCCTCTTTTACCTATGTCTCCTCTTGGTCTTTCAATGTGGGTCAGTGGTTCTACAGAAGGTTGAGAGTCCAGATATTTTTGGAATTACATCCTAGCAGTTTCCCATCCTGTGAAAGCCTGTCTTCTTCTGTGAAGTCTTCTGCTATGGGCGCCCTCTGCAGGCCTTTCTGCATATTGCTTCCACCCCTTCCCCTCATGTCCATGGACTGTGTACCATCCATCAGTCCTCTGGATGGTTGCTGCATGGTTATCTGGTGCCTGTGCTGATAGACTCGTGTAACTAAGGGTTAGTTGACTAATGTTGTACCCATCTCAGCACTGTGGAACACAGGCACAGGCTAGCTTGTTGTGATAGAAGCTGTAATGCCATTAATAACAAATGGGCTGGGTCTTTGGAGGCCAACCCCTAGAACAGTGGTTCTCAACCTGTGGGTCACGACCCCTTTGGCGATTGAATGACCCTTTCACAGGGGTTGCCTAAGACCGTCAGAAAACAGATTTTACATTAGAAAATTACAGTTTTGAAGTAGCAACCAAAATCATTTCATGATTGGGGCTCACCACAACATGAGGAGCTGTATATTGAAGAGTCACAGCATTGGAAAAATTGAGAACCACTACTCTAGAAGAAAGAAAAAGAGCAAACAAACCTATGTTGTGTCTTCAGGTTGTAACAGAAGCCTTGCTTGACCTTGTTAACAGTTAGCATTATGCACAGTGGTTGTAGTGAGGAGGTTTGGGTACTGCTTCCTGCTTGAATGAGAAGTCTCCACGTCACAGGACTGTGCCTGATCTTTGTGCTTTGCTGTTACAGAGAAGGTGAAAGTTCTCCTGAAAGAGCTGTGGCTCTGTGTGAACACTGCGCACAGACTATCAGGGGAGAGCAGCAGACGCATCCCAGGTGAGAGACACCACAGACGCTCCTAAGGCATGAGTGTGACAGCATTTGCCACAGGCTGCCTTTCAGTTCCAGTGTGTAGCCGAGAGTGGGTACTTGGAAGTGTATGAAGCAACTGTCAGCCTTCTGGAGCAGCTCTCCTCAGAGCACTTGGGGAGACTAAGGCATGCTTGGCAGGAGTATGTGGATGACCGAGTAATCTTCCCATACTACACAATAGCTTCTTTGAACTTACTTTTATTTTCACACAAGAATGGTTCCATCAGAACTCTTCCCCAGTCCTGTTCACCAGCTGTGAGGCTCATGGAAATGGCACATTTCCCACCTATACTGGATCCAGTCTGAGACTCCGTTTCTGCTTAGGACTCTGTGCTGGGGACTAGAACAGAATGTTCGATGCATGGTGACTCACTGACGATCATGTCCCTGTGCTTTCTCTGCTTCCAGTTTGCCCAGTGGCAGGAATTCTTACATAAGGAAGGCTGCCCCTCCCCTCCCCTCCCCTCCCCTCCC